GGAGGAGAGAGAGAGAGAAAGAGAGAGAGAGAGAGAGAGAGAGAAAGAGAGAGAGAGAGAGAGAGAAAGAGAGAGAGAGAGAAAGAAAGAGAGAGAGAGAGAGAGAGAGAGAAAGAGAGAGAGAGAAGAGAGAGAGAGAAAGAGGAGAGAGAGAGAGAAAGAAGAGAAAGAGAGAGAAAAGAGAGAGAGAGAGAGAGAGAGAGAGAGAGAGAGAGAAAGAGAGAGAGAGAGAGAGAGAGAAAGAGAGAGAGAGAGAGAAGAGAGAAAAAGAGAGAGAGAGAGAAGAGGAGAGAAAGAGAGAGAGAGAGAGAGAAGAGGAGAGAAAGAGAAGAGAGAGAGAGAGAGAGAGAGAGAGAGAGAGAGAGAGAGAGAGAGAGAGAGAGAGAGAGAGAGAGAGAGAGAGAGAGAGAGAGAAAGAGAGAGAGAGAGAGAGAGAGGAGAAAGAGAGAGAGAGAGAGAGAAAGAGAGAGAGAGAGAGAGAGAGAGAGAGAGAGAGAGAGAGAGAGAGAGAAGAGAGAGGAGAGAGAGAGAGAGAGAGAGAGAGAGTAAATAAAAAGAAAGAAACAATAAACCTGTACAGACTACTTTTTAAGCCTCATTCTTCACTGTCACATTATTAATCACATCAATATATTCATCTATAAAATACCATCAGATTACATCAATCAACATTATATTAACAATTGCTAACATCAATTCAACTCAATAATCATGACATCACAGTTAACAAATCATAACCATCATGCATAATTATGGAACCATCATCCCACACATAAATCACAAACACATACAGAAAATTCACATCACACCCTATCATCATCACCACATAACCACAGTCTCCACCATCAATGTTCGCCCTCCAACCAACCACCTCCTCTACACACCTGGCCGCCATCCAACAGATTCTCCTCGTCTTGAATTCTCTTCTCTTAGCCACTTCTCAAGGGGCTGGAAGTATTCCCGCAGGGCTGAGGTGTCCATCCTCTCCTCTCCTGTGAGGATTCTTAGTACTTCCTGCCAGGGTTTTGACGAGCCTAGCTTAAGCATTTCTCTGAGGGTTGGTAAATGCTGAGGGTGATTATCATGGAGAATAAAACAATGACATTAGTCATGATATAATAAAGATGTTGAAAATAATAACTAATGATGATGAAAAAACACATAATGATGATGGGTGTCAAAAAATAATGAAAATAATGAAGTATTGATAGTGATGTTACACAAACATTTTTTTTTCAATCACAGCATGCTATTCTTGAATACTGTATGAATAAAACATAAAAGAGGCTATGATGAAGACATCATGGCACTGTATCAGAGATAAAGTATGATTAAATTGCTGTCATTATATGTAGGAAAACTAAAAACAATCCTTTTGGTTCCTTACCTAAAAAAAACTTAAAACATCAAGGTATTTGAGTAATTTTACTTAGCTTTGAAATTCAATCCATTCAAGATTGGTGATATTTCCTGTACAGTATGATGAGGCTGGGGTATAAAAGCATGCACTACTCTATGCCTTGTTTATCTATTTATTGAAAATTTTCTGCCATGTATACAAAATATAGCAATAGAGCAAGGCTTACGGGCGAAGCCCCAGGTAAAGAAAGGTCATACATCTCTATGATAAAGTATTGTAGCAAGAAGTTTAAAAATGAGTTAATGATCAGAACAAAATATGTTAGGTGTCAAAGATTTTTGAGTGTTGTTAGTTAGTATGGTAGTGAAAAGGGTAAAGAAGAAATAGAAATAGAGTACGAAGGCTGATCAGGACTGACAAAGCCAGTCTTTCATAATTTCATCACAGCTCTCCCTCTTTAGGATGTGGACAGAAGAAGGGGATGAAGAAGAGAATGAAAAGGAAAGGAGTAAAAAGACCATGTAAAATTAGTTGAGGTGAGAGCTGAGATCCAAGGCAGGGTTGATCCCCCACATTGGACCTCAGTCTCTGTCTCTTAGGCATGGGATTAGGGAGGTACTCTATCCACGTTTACTGTCTGGCTTACAACTGAGCTCACAAGCCATCACACTCACCACCAGGAAATGGACTCACAATATGATTAGATATTACCCAGCATTTAGGATTCTTTGCCATAAGGTAATAAGACATCACCCATCATGAAAAGGTTCATCAGCCTCACCTAAGAGCACTTCCAGCTTCACTTGATTGGTGATTATCACATTTATGAAGTGGCTTCAAGGGATTATCAGGGTCATACTCTTGGGATTTCATACACAGAGCCTTGTGGAACTGAAATTGAATAATGGTGCTCAAAAAGTATCTGGAAAGGACAAGAGGCTTACATTACAGAGCTTTGTGGGAGAAGACAAAGACTTGATATAGAGGTTTGTGGATAATTTAACGGAGACTAGGTAGCTTCAAGAAAATGATACTTAATCTTGTAATAATGACAAATAAGACATTTCTACAATCAAAACACATGTCTTCAATATTAAAAAGCCTAACACTAATATATAATTCATTTATAACAGTAAAGCTACTTCCAAGATGTATCATTCAACCTTTCAAAAAATTACATATATTACACCAAAGAAACCTGATAACAACCTGATGTATGGAGAGTTCACCGCCACATGAAACTTTGCCGCAGGGTCAAAGTCGTTTTCTGTACGTGTAGAAGGGGGTTTCATTCCTTGAATCTCATACCTTAGTAGAAAATGGCTTTAAGCAAGGAAATCATATGGAAAAAAGTGAAAAAGCTAATACATCTGAGACATAAATTTTAAGATTAGTCTTTAAAAAAGGAAGGAAGGAAAAAAAATGCTAAATTTTTCCCAGTATCTATGAAACTCTAATGAAAGTCATCATAACTATCCTTTAACAAAAAAGAAAGCATACCTTTTTTTGTCATATTGATAAAAAAAATGTACAACATTAAATGTGAACTCTCAAACCTGAGATCCCACCAAGCACAGTTCCAATCCCTATGAGGATAAGTGCCGTCAAGAACTCTCCAGCGCCACAAGTCCATGAGGTATGCAAATGGCAG